CTCCCCAATGTACCCTTGCTAATTTATACATTATTATTATTTTGTCATATCTTACATTGTCTGACGTCATCCTTTACCCACTTCTCCGTTGTCCGTCCCCCAAGAGGAGATTACAAGGATCTACATACAGCATATGCGTTTTGCTTTTTGTTGCTCACGCTTTCATTGTCATATCAGATAATATGTCATTACAAATGAGCCCCTGCAGCTACACCCCTTATATTTTCCTCTAAGAATTCCATGGCTTTAGTATTCACATTGAGAACCTTGATCTATTTTGAATTGGTGTGTGTGTGTGTGTGTGTGTGTGTGTGTCCAGACAAGACATAAATTCTGATTCAGTCTTTGACATGTGAAAGTCCAGTTTTTCCAACATTCTTTATTGAAGAAATGCTTTCTACGCCATTGGATGAACTTAGCACCCTTGGTAAAAATCTGTTGATCATAGGTGTGTGGGTTTAGTTTCTAAACTCTCAATTCTACTCCCTCGTTCTGTGTCTGTTGTTATGAATGTACCACACTCTTTTGATTTCTGTTGCTGTATACAATGTTTTGAAATCAGAAAATATGAGTTTTCCTCCTAATTTTTTTTCTTCAAAATTGTTTTGACTATTCAGGATTGTGGTAGTTACATAATCTGGTGTCAATTTGAGGATTCAGAGTGTAGGGGTGGAGTCTAGCTTATAAATCAGGATATAACCAATGAGGCCTCTGTGTGGGCATGGCCTTCTCCTGAGGAGTCTGGGAACTCCTGCATTTCCTCCTTGGAGACAGGAGACACTGTCTCTTGACTCACTCCTGCAAGACATTTCTGATGAGAAGCCACATGAAGCTACCCTGATGCAGCCAGAACCCTGGGAGCTGGAGGAATCACATGGAGACCCATGCCAGCACTGAGATGCTTACACTTCCATTGGGTCCACAAGACTTCCCACCCACTGGTCTGTGATCTTGCATTCGGTGTCACTGCATGTGTTTCATGTCTAAAGAGGACTTTATAGATTGACATCAGACATATGGGTTAATATCGGACTTATGGACTTGATCTGGACTGGACGGGTATGTTTTCTCAATATTCAATTGCTCTTGTATATAAAGCTCTTTCTTAAACACAAATGAGTGCCTCTATGAATTTGTTTCTCTAGTCTACCCGGACTAACACAAGGACTTCTTGCCATTCTTTGTGTAATTGAGGGTTGGTTTGTCCACTTCTGTGAAGAGGGCTATTGGAAATTTGATTGAGATGATTTCATTGAAGCTGTAGATGACTTTTGGTAAAATTAATATCTTAATAATGTTAAGTCTTCCAATACAATAACATGAAGTATTTTTACTTGTTTAGGCCTTCTTTAATTTCTTCAGTGGGACTTTATAAATGTCATTGTACAAGTCTCTGGCATCCTGGTTAAATTTATTCCTAGCAATTTATGCCTTTATTGGGTATTGCCAATGGAATTCTTTTCTTGCTTTTCAATTCTGTGCTGTTGAAACACAAGTGAATCTTGTGTTACCATGTTTCCTGAAACTTACTGAATCCCTCTATCAGTTTTATTGGCTGTTTTTTGGGTCCTTTGTGAATTTCTATATATAGAATCACGTCATCTGCGAATAGAGATCATTTTTACTTGTTCTTCTCTAATTTGGACATCTTTTATTTCTTTTACTTGCCTCATTGCTCGGTCTAGGACTCCCAGTAGTGTGTTGAATAGCAGTGGTGATAGTGAGCATCCTGGTCTTATGCCCCATCTTAAGGGGGGAAATCACTCAGTTGTTTTCCACTGAGTAGGACGTTGGCTGTTGGTTTAATGGCATTAATCATATTGAGCAACATCCCTTCTGTTCTGATATTGTTAAAGAGCTTTTACCAAGAAATGATGTTGGATTCATCAAATACCTTTTCTGCATTGTGATGATAATGTAATTTTTTTTCTCTGTTTAACTAGTGTGGTGTCTACACTGATTGATTTCCTAATGTTGAAATACGCCACACCCTTGGAATGAACCCCATTTGAACACAGTGTATGATTCTTATCATAACATTGTTGGATTCTTTTTGCAAGTATTTTGCTAAGGGTTTCTGCATCTTTATTCATAAGGGATATTGTTCTACAGTTTTCTTGTGTTGTCTTTGTCTGAATTCAGCGTCAGGGTAATATTAACCTCGTAGAAAGAGTTAGCAAATATTTCTTTCTCTAAGTCTGTTGGTGCTGCTGTATTAGGAAAATCACAAGTGGTTGGTTCTAATGAACAGAAATGCCCTTTCCCACAGTTTAGGAGCCTAGGAATCTGAATGTAGGACCTAGGCTCTAGAAACACAGCATTTTTACTCTCAGCTTCGGTTTTTCAGTTAATTGATCTTCATGTAAGATGCATTTTTCACTTCATTTGTATTAACTAGCTTCTATGGCTACACGACTCCTTTTTGATTTCAACGTTGATTGATTAAAACACACCTTACTCAATACGGCCTCATCAATATACCAGAATACTACTCCCAGATGGGATTACATCCACATGTACAGAGATTAAGGCATGGAGTATTTTTTCTTAATTTAAAATAAGTTGTTATTTCCAATGTATTCGTGTGTGTGTGTGTGTGTGTGTGTGTGTGTGTGTGTGTGTTTAAGTTATTGTAACTTGGATGACAGTCGAGAGAGGAAATTAGTTTTCCACTCAACAGAGTAAACACATTTTGTTTCCTGACAGAGGTTATAATCCCCCCAATGTAACAACACTCTTCCCATCTCCTCTCGGTGCTTCCTATTTTTAGTTTTCCACTCAACAAGGTAAACACATTTTGTTTCCTGACAGAGGTTATAATCCCCCCAATGTAACAACACTCTTCCCATCTCCTCTCGGTGCTTCCTATTTTCATTCTTCCATCTTTCCTGCCTACTGAGCTTTGGTGTTGAACTTAGATGGTTTGTTGTACTGAAATGTCCATTCCTCCCTGGCCTAACTGTCTTCTACAACTGCGGTCCTAACTCCTCAAGGATAGGGTCTCATTCTCACAAGATGTTTGGTTATAGCTAAGAAGTTTTCAGACCTTTTCCCTGTGCAGGCTCTACTATATCCATGGATAGCTTTGCAGCGTTTACAAATGTAGAAGTTTCCATAAGGGGACTTTAAAAAGTGTGTGGAGAAATTCCATTCTTATTTAATTTCATGTTTCCACCAACTACCTGAAGCCCTTTTGTATACTGATGGCTGCGCTCTCATTTTCTCCGCACCTGGCCAGCTTCCTTGACCACTTATCTCTTACTGCCAACCACTCAATGCTGATTCATAGCAACCCCCGTGTGGATTTCTGAAACCTGTAACTCTTGATGGGAGTAGAAAGCCCAGTCTTTTCCCCAAGGAGCTGCTGGTGGTTTCAAACTGCCGACCATGTGGATTGCTGCCCAGTCTTAACTGCTACGTCACCAGGACTCCTCGGTCTACTTCTCTATTCACTCATTAATATTGTTTTTTATTACTATTGTTGCAGGGTTGGCTACATTTGCCTTCAGTACTCCTTTGCACCTCCCAGGGTCGTCCTTTACCTTGGTCATGTTGTACTGTCCTCCCCATTATTACATCTTACCTTCCTGTTCACCTAAGTTAAAAGGCATCTACTCTCTAGCATTTGATTGACACCCCATCCTTTGGAATCATCAAAGAACCTTTCTTCCTGTGTTAAATATTTTTGTGATGTTTTATAATCATAGTCTCATACAATATTTATACTTACCACACTCAGCCTAATGTCCTTCAGGTTCACCCATGTTAGGAGGTGTTTGGGGATTCGTGGTATTCCACTGGAAGTACTGTAGTGCATCTATCAGCTGGTAGGCCTTGACATGGTCTCTGTCTTTTTTACACTCATGGATAATGCTGCAACGATCATGGATGGGTGTGCATGTATCCATTTATGCCATGGCTCTGATTTCGCTAGAATCTATGACTAGTTGTGGGATTGCTGGACCATCTGGTATTTTTAATTCCCCTGTTTGAGGGAGGTGCTGTGCCATTTCTCACAGTGAAGGTGTTGATTTACAGTCTCAGCAGCAGTGTAAGAGAATGCTAATCTCTCCACAGGCCGGACAGCATTTTGTTTTCTCTTTATTTTATGTTTAAACTTTGTGGTTATGACTGGAGTGTGCTATATCATTATTGTTTTGATTAACACCTCTCTAAAATGGATAACAATCAGGAGAGCTTCTGCATGTTTTTGTTGGTGCCTGCCTATACATCCTCAGAGCAAGGAGCTCTGGTGGGTGGTGGCTATGCATTCAGCGGGGGGGTCCTCCAGCTCAGAAGGTCAAAACCAACAGCAGCTTTGCTGGCGATGATTGGGCCTTTCTACTTCAGTGACAGTCTCAGAAACTCACAAGGACAGTTCTAGCCTGTCCTAGTGGGTCGCTGTGAGTCAGCATCAACTCGAGTGAGTTTAGGTTTTTTATGACTTTTTTTATTGAAGAGTCTGTTCATATTTTCTGAGCATTTTAAAAATTGGATGACGTGTCTTTTGATTATTGGCGAGTAGAGGTTTCTTAGAAATTGAAAAATGCAAATATTGGGTAACTGACCTTCAAATAGGTCAAATGACACACCCAAGGTCTCATGTTTTGTGAAAGGCAGGAAATTTAGAACCCTAGACATCTCTGAAAAGACGGACACTGGCATATCAAGGAGGTGACTAGGTCAGAATTCCTGGATTCCGGCAGGAGGCCTTCATCTCTTCCTTTTTTCCTTTTTTAGTTTGGGAGCTCTTAACAGCTATCATAACATTCCATAGTTCAATCACAGTAAGCAGTACTATACAATTGCTACCACAATCACCTTCAAAACATTTTCTTTCTTCTTGAACGCCTTGGTATCAGCTCCCTTTTGCGCCCTTCCGGTCTGAGGCACGCTCGGACTACGTTTCCCATCGGCCCCCGGGGCAGTTTCCGGTGCCGCGCGGCGGTGCTCTGCTTTCCGGCCGCAGCTTTTACGTCACTTGGGCCGAATTTCTGAACATGGGCGCTCAGCAGTCAGAACCTCAGGACCGCGAGAAGGTCGTTCCCGCGCCCGCCAGCCCCGCGCCCTTGCCCGCACCCGCCAGCCCCGCGCCCGCCAGTCCCGCGCCCTTGCCCGCACCCGAAGCGCTGACCTCCCCAGCGCAGGGCTCGCTGACTGCCAACTGCTGGAGCTGTCGCGTGCTCGCTGGGTCGGGGCTGATCGGGGCGGGGGGCTACGTGTACTGGACGGCGCGGACCCCCATGAAGCTCGGATACCCCCCGGGTCCAGGGACTATTACGCAGATGGTCGTCGGCATCAGTGAGAATCGGGGTGCCACCACGTGGACGGGGGGTGGGGCGCTCAGGGTGGTCACGTGGCAGGGTCACACCCTCTCCGCCCCCCCAGCTAGGTGACCCTAAAACTCACTGCCATCAAGATGGTTCCTACTCATATTGGCCCTATAGGATAGGGTAGAACTGCCCCTGTGGGTGTTCGATACTGTAACTACTGGAGTAGAAAGCCTCGTCTTTCTCCTTCCGTGCAGCTGGTGGTTTCAAACTGCTGACCCTTAAGTTAGCAGGCCAGTTGGTAATCATTACTCCACCATGGACTCCTAGGTGCACTAGGGGAGAGAAAACTTTGGGGACACCTTGTTTTTTCTTGGATTCCAATCATTTTGTGAACTCATTTTGACCCCACCACCCCCGCCCCGCTTTAATCTTCATGACAACCATTAGGGTTAAAGTGAGATCACAGTATTCCCATTTTGCCTCCGAGCAAATCAAGTCCCAAGAGTTTAAAGTCAGCCAGGCTGGAGATCTTGCAGCTGGGGTTTGATCCTAGGTTTATCCGAACCCAAAGCCCATGCACTTTCTCCAAATCCAGAAGAAAGCCGACAGGTGGGCCCTTAACCCTGGCTTAAGAGCTTTGGGTCTGAAGTCAGCCCTTAGACTCTCTCTCAAAGCCTACCTGGTCTGTCACTGGGTTCTGGGGCCCAAAGTCCTCATCTGCCACAATCCGAAAAAGTGATGTGGTTTTCCTGTTCTAAAATGTAGCAGTCTTTGAACTTTTCATACCCTTGTCAGAGTGAGTAGAATTTTAAGTGTCAGATTCTTTACCTTCTTCACCTGGCTGCCCAGATAACATTCTTTTGTTAAATTCCTTACTTGCTTGGGGAACGTAACAATGATTCCCCCCCCCCCCACTTGTTTGAGTTTCACTCTCCTGCCCTGTTAGGTGGACCCGAGACCATGTTGTGAGGTTAAATGGGGTGTCCCCTGTGAAAGTATTTTGTCAGCTAAGGTCCAGCATGCTGGTGAGGTTTCGGTGTCTTTGTCTCTGCAGGCATTGCCGCTTGGGGGGTAGTCGTCCTGACGGACCCAAAAGGAAAAGCTAAGCGAGTTGATGAAAAGTGAATTTGTCATCTCCCTCCGTCCTGGGGACACAGATTTGAATGTGGACGGACACATGGACACACTTCAGCACTGCAGATGCTGCAAGACTGACAAGACTAAGCCTGGGTTCTCCTTCAGCCAGGAGTGTTTTTGGCCTTCTTAGGTTCTGAGGGCGGGGACCGGCACTTCCCTCAAGAAAGAGCAGATTGTGGGTTTTACTTGGGGGAAGAATATGTATAATTAAAGGGGAAATGAGAAACTGGGTTAAACTCTCGGTAGTTTTTACTTTACGTTCTGTCAACCTGTTGTTGTTAGGTACTGGTTCCCATCCATGGCAACCGTGAGCACTACACAATGAAGCACAATGGTCCTGCGCCATCCCCGCGAGCGTGCCTTTGCTTTGCGCAGCTAGCCAGCTCCCCCCGGAGAAGTGGCAGACTTCTGGTCACCACTGCATGACACTGCAGGTCTGTTTCCTCAGACTTACACAGACAAACCCACTGCCCTCCAGCCCACGATGACTCACAGTGACCCAATAGGACAGTAGAACTGAGTTTCCAAGACTGTCCTTGAGGAGAAAGCTTTGTCCTCCTGTGGAGCTGCTGGTGGTTTCAAACTGCTCGTTTTGCAGATCGCAGCCTAACGTGGAACCATTTTGCTACCAGGGCTGGTAAATCCTTCACTTTAGGACATTGTAACCATCCTGAACCTTAAAAGTTAGAGTCCAGGTAATTGGTGTGATCAGTTTAGTAAGTGGATGGAGTGAAGGCGGGTACTTAAAAGCCTCCCAGTATTCTAGAACTAGGAGAGTCCCAAGGAGCAAGCCTTGCCTTTCTGAGACAGGAAGTCATGAAAGTCAGCCTTCAGGCAAAGACTTCGCTGCCAAAATATTGCTGAGAGATGCAAAGCCTCAGTGATCATGAAAAGGCATTTGGCTTCATTTCGCACAAGCCTGGAAATGTTCTGTGATGGGATTGAGATACTTTGCAGATAACTCAAAATCTGATACTTCTTTTCTGAGAGGGCTTTGCCTACTACCCACCTATAACCGCCCACCCCCTGCCCCCCAGCCACTGGAGGCCACAGCTTCTCTACAGTTATACCCAGCCGTCTTTCAGAGCCAAGCAACTCTTAAATTTAGTTGCCAATCACAGTGTAAATTTTGAATGACGTTGAGCAAGTAATACCTTTTAACACTTCTCCCCACCCCCTCCCCATTCCCAGGATTCTGTGGAAACCCTTCAGTTGGCTGAACCTCACATGGTATTTCAGACTATCTGATGTCGTGGTGTTGGTGGGGATACACATGTAGAGAGAGGGCAGTGGGGGCTTGGTGGTGGAATCCTCACCGTCCATGTGGGAGTGGCGTGCAGGGGCACCAGTTTGTCCCTGTGAACAGTGGAATGGACTGCTCAACCAGGACTGTTGGAGAGCACTGTTGTCTTAATCCTTCTCATTGAGGGTCTTCCTCTTTTCTGGTGGCCTCCAGGGACTAGTCTCCTGATGACCTGCCCAAAGTAAGTGAGGCAAAAATCTTGCCCTCTGCTTCACAGGAGCACCCTGCTTGTACTCCCTCCAAGCTACATCTGTTATTCGGGTGCTTCATGACACCCTCGGTATTTCTTCCCCAACACCCTGTTTCATTGTTTCAGAGCTGCCCATTCTCTGGTCTTCCTTGTTCACTGTTCAGCTTTCCCATGCATAAGAGGCAATTGAAGATCCATGACTTGGGTCAGATGTACCTGAGGTCACAAAGCGACATCTTCACTTTCGAACACTTTGAGGCCTTTTGCAGCACATTGGCCCAATGCAATCTATCTGATTTCTTGACAGTTACTTCCAGGGGTGTTGATTGTGGATCCAAGTAAAATGAAGCCCCTCGTCTGCCAACTTCAGCCTCGTCTATGTCTCGTGCTCTGGCTGGTTGGCCCACCTCTGGGGGTCTTTTGTTCTCTCTGTTCAGGTGGAACCCATACTGAAGGCCCTATGTAGTTTCTGATCTTCATCAGTACCTCTTCACACGCATCACCTGCATGTTGCCAGTCATTGGGCATTCCAATAGCGATGCCCCAGTCTTTCTGCGTCCCAGTTTCTCAATCCATTTGCTCGGTAATCAAGTAAGTCTGCTGAAAGGCTGCAGCCTTAAAATGTAATAACATCTTTCTCAGACTTTTGGTGAGTACGGGTGTATAAAAGAGCTTCTTTCACATAAACTTGATTGCTTATCAGAAGTTTGGCCAAAGTGTGTTTGGTTCTTTGTGAGTTCCAGCAATTTAACTTCATAAGAACTAAATGTTCTGCCATGTCTATAAGACAAGTGGTAACATACTGAGGTGGGCTGGCGGGTTATGGGGTGGAAAAGGGTCTTTTAGTGTATCCTAAAAATTGCAGTGGTCCATGCCAGCGTTAAAGTAGGACCCTCCAGGTGTTAGGGCTGTGTGTAATCTTCATATGTTTCAGAAAGAAGAACCCTCTTAAGCCTTGCCACGCAGGCAGATACTTTCAACCCAAACCAAACTCACTGCCTTCAAGTCAATACTGACAGCGGCCCCCTGTGGTCTTCTGAGACTAGCTTTATGGGAGTAAAAAGCCCAGTCTTTCTACCTCTGGGCTGCTGGTTGTTTTGAAGTACCAGCCATGCAGCTCGCAGCCCAGTGGGTACCACTATGCCAGCAGGGCTCCTTTCATGATCGTCCATTGAACTGCTGAATCTGTGTACACCCTTTCTGACTACACAGTGTTCCCATGTTCTACTCAAACAACTGTCTCTTGATCTGAATTCTGGTTCCAAGTGAGCACAATGATGTGTTCTGAAATTCCCATCCCTTGCAGCGTTAGCCATCATTTGTTATGATCCCAAAGTCAATTGTCATTGCAATGTCTGTGGAACATCTTCCTGGTAGTCTGTGCTTTCAGCAGAATCCCTCTGACATGAGCAGTGACAACCCTATTCATACATTCTCTTGTGAAACCGGCTGCATTTTCTGGTAGTTAAATGTGGGAGACCCGGGTTCACTTCCCTACCAAGTGCTCCTTGAACCCTGCTATCACCTTTCTGACAGGGAGTCTTTTGAGTTGCTATGATGCTGAATAGGTATCAGCAGAGGTTCTAGAAAGATGAGCCAAAACCCAAAAACTCACTGCCATCAAATCAATGCTGATATGTACATGCCTGTTTTAGACCTCTATAAATGCCCTTTGTCTCCTAGTTCTTTCCTATTTCCTTTTATTCTCCTTCTGCCCCATTGTCATGCTCAGCCTTCATTGCAACATACCGGCATGAAGCAGGGAACCAATAGAGAGGTCTGAGGGGCTGGCCCCAATCCCAACTATGTGGACAGCCCCTTCTACCCCTGGAAGAATTTACTCCCAAGGTCAGCACTGAAACAACAGCTGAGGGAGAGGGACATGTCTGATCAGAGCACATAGGAGCAAGTGGCAGGGGAGGAAGAGAGAGAGTGGAGCACATCCTGACCCACTAAACCTTGAGGACGATATCCCTGCTCAGAGCAGTCAATGCACAGAGAGGACCATATGCCCGGCCCCTTATGAGACAAGACATCCCTCAGTGACCCATAGCACTACGGGGGCAACATTAGAGACACAGTGCGGGAATTTCACCCACACTGAGGCAAACACTAAGGGCATGCAACAGAACAGCAAGGGGAACAGTGCCAGGAAGTCCCTAGGTTTACCAAATATAGACTTTGGGGCCAGGGCATGGCATCCCATTAGACTCAACTGGAAAACACTCCTAAAGGTCAACAATTAGACCTTGAACTATTAACAGTCTTCTTTTTTGTGTCATTGGTTTTTTGTTGTTTTCTTTCATTGCTTTTGTTTGTCTTGTTTTTTGTGAATATTATTACCTCTGCAAGTCTATCGAGATAAGACAGGTGGTATAAACAATCTGGAGGAGAAAACAACGGGCCTGCAGTTCTGGGGGTATCTAGGGGCATTGGGCCTCTACTCAAGTACTCCCTCAGTGCAAGAACCCTTTGTTCTATTAAACTAGCATTCCTTGGTGCTCACCTTCCCGATATGATCGCCCAAGACAAATGGGTGCATAAGCAAATGTGGTGAAGAAAGCTGATGAAGCCCGGCTATCAAAAGATATAGCGTCTGGGGTCTTAAGGGCTTGAAGGTAAACAAGCCGCCATCTAGCCGAGAAGCAACAAAGCTCACATGGAAGAAGCATGCCTGCCTGTGTGATCACGAGTTGTCGATGGGATCAGGTATCAAGCATCAAAGAACAAAAAATAATATCATTATGAATGAGGGGGAGTGCGAAGTGGGGACCCAAAGCCCATCTGTAGGCAACTGGACATCTTACAGAAGGGTTGCAGAGAGGAGACAAGCCAGTCAGGTGCAGCATAGCACTGATGAAACATATAACTGTCCTTTACTTTAGTGCTTCCCCTCCCCGCCCCCCCACTATCATGATCTCAATTCTACCTTATAAATCTGGCTAGATCAGAGGACGTACACTGGCACAGATAGGAACAGGAAACACAGGGAATCCAGGGCAGATGAACACTTCAGGACCAGTGGTGAGAGTGGCGTTACCAGGAGGGTAGAGAGAAGGTGGGATAGAAAGGGGGAACCGATTACAAAGATCTACATATCACCCCCTCCTTGGGGGACGGACAACAGAAAAGTGGGTGAAAAGAGACATCGGACAGTGTAAGACATGAAAAGATATTTATAAATTATCAAGAGTTCTTGAGGGAGGGGGTGTGGGGACGGAGGGGAAAAATGAGGAGCCGATACCAAGGGTTCAAGTAGAAAGAAAATGTTTTGAGAATGATGGCAAAAAATGTATAAATGTGCCTGACACAATGGATGGATGTATGGATTGTGATAAGAGTTGTACGAGCCCCCAATAAAATGATTTAAAATAGAAAACTCAAGGAGCAGTTATACTCTGACACACCTTGAGGCTCCATGAGTTGGAATTGACTCAAGAATTAGTTATTAAAAAAGCTTACCTTTGGGTATGTTTTAATAAGCGATTGTAACTTCTGCCTGTGTAATTAATTTTTCCCAAAAAGTATGTTACATTGTAATAATAAAAAGGTTTTTTTTAATTAATTTAAAGTGAACAGTTAAATAAAATTTTAAATGAACAACAATTTAAAAAAACTCAGTTAACAAAAACCTTGTGGCTCTTCACGGCGCAGTCTGAAACCTGCCCCGGGGATGACACAGGCTTGATTTTACTGTCTGGATTGCTATGAGATGGGGCTGGCTCCGTGGCAGCTAG